TTGGAAAGATCATCAAGTTCTGTTAATTATATAATTTAAAAATAAGAATTTCCTGTAATAAAGAAAATTAGTTAGAAATGTCAAATGATCATTCATTCACTCATTATTCAACACATTTTACTAAGTGACAGGTATTGTTAGGAAAGTAAATCAAAAATCTCTGCCTTTATAAACTTGCGTACAAGAAAAGGAAACAACACTAAAGACAGATAAGTAAAATATACATTTATTAAGTAATAACTGTTAAGTTAGTAAGTGCTAAGAAACAGTTGGGCATTGTGGCATGTGTCTATAATCTCAGCACTCAGGAGGCTGAGGCAGGAGGATCACCACAAGTTTAAGGCAATGTAGGCTACAGCTTGAGTTCAAGGCCAGTCTGAACTACATAGCCAGAACTTATCTCAAAAAACAAGGCACCAATAACAAAAACAAAATATAATTAAAAAGAAAGCACAAAAAAATATAAAATGGTATGGCCAAGAACATTTGTAGTAGAAGGGGAATTTAGCTCAGTGGTGCCACCACTTGCCCTCACAAGCATAAGGTCCTGAGTTCAAACCCCGATACCAAAAAAAAAAAAAAAAAAAAAAAAAAAAAAACAAAGAACATGTGTAATTAATGCAGTCAGGGAGGATCTCACTGAGAAAATAATATTAAGCAACATGTATGACCCATAAGATATCTCAAAAGGTAATTTTAAGCAGAAAGTAGGAAATTACACTAAATGTAGGAGTCAAGTTTTTAGAAAGCCCTTCTAGACATTATTCATGCTTGGCTGAGTTGGGAGCTCTTATAACTCAAAGTGCTGTGTGTTAAAGTTTTATTCCCTAGGACGGCACTATTGGGAGGTGGTAGACCCCTTAGAAGGAGGAGCCTAAGGAAAGGGCCTTAGGTCACTGTGTACGTGTCCTGGAAGACTATTGTGCAAATCTGGCACATGCATCTCCCTCTTTTGTTTCCGCGCCATGAAGAGAGTAGTTTACTCCACCACAAGCTCCTTTCCATAGGCTTCTGGCACATTTATCATAGGTTCAAAGCACTAAATCTACCTGATCTTGGACTGAAATCTTCAAAAATGTGAGCCAAAATAACCTTTTCTCTTTTTAAGTCAATTATCCCAGGTTTTTTGTTATGCTAAAGGAAAGTAGTATACGTATTTTCCCACATTTTCACAGCAATCAGAAGTAAGCTCTATATCATAATTCTTGCTTTACATGGAAATTGCCTGATTATGTTTTCTTAATTTCCTGACAATAAGGAATGTGTCCAGTTGCTCGTTATCCTTTGTTCCTAACAGGGTTGGAACATAACATAAACATTTGTTGAATAAATGATGGATGTTAACAGGGGTTAAAAAAATCCCTGTACAAAAGCCTTAGTAAAAAGTTGTACAAAATATGAAGAACTACAGAAAAAATGGCCGTTTTATAAAAGCTCTGCCCGGAATCATTCTGTACATTTTTTAGATCTTTCATGTCACCAAGGCAATTTAGCTCTAGATTTGTTAGCTTGCTAATGAAATAAAATAGACTAACTTATTGAAGTTTTACCTAGCCAGAAACTCCCAGCAGAAATGAAGTGGGGGAGATTAAATAAGTAATGTACAAAGGTAGTGCTTTTTCTTTGCTCTCAAAGGTATTATCCACTGAGTCCTCCACCCCTTCTTTCTCTACTTAATAAAATAAAGGCCATGTGGAACCAGGAGCAGGTAGTCAAAGTAGCACACAATGCTCCCTTTATTTCCTAACAGTTCTTCCTTTAGTACTTCAGAGAAGAAAGGGCTGGAGAATCAGAGGCTGTCAGCTGGTGAGAGAAACAGTCCTTTTAAGTACTTGGATATCAAGCTAAACTGAAATCCAGTGAACTAGTGCAAATGTCAAAGAGCCTGAGAGTCTAGGCTCCATGTTTGAAAACAAGTTGTGTAAGCAGAACTTGTCTAAGTAAAATGAATGTGTAATTATCGTACACACTTAGGTAATGAATTCACTGAAAGAGAAAATGATAGAAAATGAGAATGGCATAACTCTTCATTTTAGATTGCTCTAAAGCTTTTTCTTTGATTCTGATGTCTAGGAATGTATCAGGTTCAATATGCTGATAGAGATAATAAATAGAGATAATGTTTTTAGAGCATGTAAATAAACTTCTTAACCTGTATATCAATTAAAATGCACAAATGTCTTAGGCATTCATATTCATAAAATGAAATTGTGGAAATATGCCCAAGCCACAGAAACATGTTTTTAAGCATAGACAAACTTATTTTGAAAGCTGAAAATGCAAAGCTACAATAAAACACAGAATGTAATGGATTTTCAGGAAACTGTTCTCTCTTATAATTCAGGCTCACATGAATAAGAAGCCCATTTGATAATGAAGTACCTTCCTTACTCAACCCTGTGTGAGCTCCATCTCTGTGAACTTTATTCTACAAATATAACTTCTACTCACAAACCAATAATGAGTACAAATAATGGATTTCCCGCACTATTTATTTTGTTTCACATTTTCTGCTACGTATTGTTTAGCATTTGATCTCCTGCTTTGTTTTGTTTTATGTTGAATACTGGGAATTAAAGACAGGACTTTCAGCTTTTCTCTCTCCCTCCCCCAGCTTCCTGCTTCCTTCTATTGTGAGCAAGATTTTATTAAGTCACCAAGCAGCCCAGGCTGGGATCAAACTTGAGATCTGATCATCCTGCCTTGCAATACCACAGATTTTGAACCCCATTATTAGTTTGGAATATCCACTGTTTACAGCCTAGAGGGAAGCAGGGCCCAAATTCCTCCCATAAAATCAAAAGAACACACAATATTTCTTCCCCCAAATTTCATACACTAGGCATATGACCTAAATTGGAACACCTAGGGCTGGGGATTTAGCTCAGTGGTTCTGCCGCCTGCCTCACAAGTGCAAGGTCCTGAGTTCAATCCCTGGTACCAAAAAATAAATAAATAAATTGGCACAAATAGATGTTCCTGCTGTATCTTTCAACCCAAAATAATGAACTCAAGATAGCGAGTCTAGCTAACAGACCAGTTATGGGTTCACTTGATCTATTCGCTGTGGTTCCTCTTCCCTGGTCTATGCCATTTTTCTGAACCTACTTCTTCAGCCTTCTCTTTTACTGATTTCTTTTTGCTTGAGTTAGCTAATGTGGAAGTTTATTGCTGCAAGCATTCTGACTCCCAGTTTAAGTAACCTAGCTTAATTTTTCTCTGTTGTTTACAACTCAAGATCAGAGGTAACTATTTGAGCTGCCTGTCTTAAAATTTCCTGCAAGGCTGAACAAGAACATGCTGATTCAAAAGAAGATCATTTCACAGTCTCGGAGAGTTGACCAAGCTTTCTAAAAATAGAATGGACCCATGAACTGCTTTCAACACACAAAGTAGAAAACGGAATTCAAGAAGCCTTCCTTTAAAAATAAATGTTTCCAAATTCGAGGGTGACAGAATCTACTCAAGATGAGCTTTCTAACCAATGAAAATTTTCTCACCAAGGGGACATTAGCAATGTTTGCAGATCTATTAGTCTTCCTACAGTAAGAAAGAATGCCATGGGCTCTAGTTAATAGATCTTAAGGATGCTGATAGAAATTTTCTCACCAAGGGGACATTAGAAATGTTTGCAGATCTATTTAGTCTTCCTACAGTAAGAAAGAATGCCATGGGCTCTAGTTAATAGATCTTAAGGATGCTGATAAATATTCTACAGTGTATATGTAGCCAATCACCAGAAAGTTTCTCATCTAAATATTAATAGAGCCAAGGGCAGGAGTTTAGCTCAGTGGTTCTGCTACCTGCCTCTCAAGCACAGGGTCCAGTACCAAAAACAGGGGGGAAAAAAATCAAAGGTCAACAGAGCCAAGATTGAGAAACATTTCTGTACATCATTTTCCCTTTGTAAATCATACATGATATATGAACATGCTCCACCAGTCATATATGACTAAGTACTCCATGGAGTTTGAACAACTTTCCAAGAGTACACAGTAGTCAACTATTTTTATAATACCTCTGAAACCTCAGGTGGTCAATATGTTGAACCACCTAAGAACTACACAGATGAGAATGAGTTAAAAACAGCAAATGCTATAAAGCAAGGAACATTTGTAAAGTATTGCAAAGGTCCCGCTGTGTCTAAGGAAATGACAGGACAGCCAGGGCAATGAAGAAGTATTTGAATGACCAACAATGTTGGGAAATGAAGCTTGAAAAGGATGCTGTGATCCAATCCTAAAGTGTCTATCACATTGGGAGTACAGATTTTACTCTCTGAATAACCATAATTTTTAGAAAAAGAGTGAGATAAAGAAATGATGTTACCCCTTCAGAAGAACTCTGGAATGACTTTAGGCGATGACCTAGTATGAGCAGTCTGCTGACAGAAAGACAGTCGGAGACTTCCTCAATCCTACAAGCATGAGTAGCCACCTTTAACAATGGTAATAGCAACAAGGGTGGAGAACAAAAGCCAGAAGGAGACTCTTTTGATTTACCAAGCTCACTTTTTAAAATGAGCAGCTTTCAGTACTATGAACTATAAATTAAAACAGTGTAAATGAATTCCCATATGTGTATTAATTTCCAAGGTGCATGGGGAGAGAGGAAAGAAAGGGTTAATAAAAAGAATCAAGATGCGCTATGTACATATACCAGTTCCTCACAATGAATGTAATCACTATGTAAGCAAATATTCACTAACATTTTTTAATTTTTAAAAAATATGGTTACATGGTGAATTTTTTTAAAAAGTTATATAATGAGAAAATGTTCTATTTTAAAAATTTTATATATAACTTCTAATACAGAGAAAAGGTGTATTACATTACCTGCTCCAGGACTTGTTTGTAGGTGATAGTTTCTTTAGTATTTGTAACAGGACTGTCATAGATGATAGCAATCTTATCTCCTCTACCATTCTCAATATGACGATCAATGGCGTTGTAACAAATATTAAGCATTCCCTCCACAAACCTAAAAAAATAATTGAAATAAAAAATTGAATAATGACTTTCTAAATATAGCATTGCTTAATGGGGTTATTGTAATTCTAGTTCAGCAGACCTGGTTTTAAAGGAGTGTTTCATAGTACACGTTATGCTGGGTAATGATGGCTATAAAGTACATATATTTAAGATGGCAAGGAGTAGACATTTTTATTTTAATGAATATGTTTTTATTTTTATGTGCCCTTGAAAAAAATACACCTTGTACCTTAAACTGAAAAGTGTGTTGATTTTATTGCTTGAAATGAAATCAGAGTATAGTGTAACAAAGTAATCTATTTTACTTATATAGATTTACTCACATTTAAGTATAGTACAGAAGCATTAGAGATTATGAAAGAGAAAATGGTAGGGATAGCTAAAGTTTTGGTGAGAAAACTTACTGGAAAATTCAATTCTTTGAAAGAGTGGCATGAATTTTTTGTCAATTATATGTAGTATCTTGAATTGTATATAGAATAGATGTGCTCTTTTCTGCTGTTTAAAACGTTTCATAATGAATAAAGAATGGACGTGCACATAAAATGTTAAATTTCCGAAATCATTTACATTTCATTCTTAATTGATCAGTGCTTAACTTTGACATTCTATAGAAACATAGTGATAGGTCGTTTTTGAGGAATAGCTCATTTTTCTAAAAGAAAAATGTTTTATATGCCTTTTTAGGAGGAGGGAATTTGTATAAAATATGCTAGTATTGTGCACAATAGCAATCCAGTTTTCCTAACCTTGAACTACTTAATATAATAATACAAAGTAACAGAATAAATATTTAAGCAGGAAAAGTTTGTTAACCCTTCAATGACCAGTCATCCATTTTTGGCACACCCATAACAATGTAACACACTGAAATGTGTTCTCTTCCAATTCTTGTTCCTTAGAAAAGGGCTAAAGGTATAGGGGAACTGCGAAGGGTAGGGGCCAGGAAATAAGAAAGAAGAAAAAAATATGAGAAAATGGAAAAAAATGTTTTTGTAAATAGGGAAGGGAGGAGGGGGTGAAGGGAGGGCAGGGATAAGAGGGAGAAATGAGAACCAAGACCTGTCACGTAAAGGTGCAAGATCCCAATGATGAATGTAACTGTACTGGATACCTAAAAATGTACCAATAAACTCAATGAGAAAAATATAAATAAATAAAAAAACCCCAAAAAAATTCTGTTCCTTAAATTTTCCTAGGTAACATGAATTTCATGCAAAAATTTAAAAATTTCAGTCTTCTGCATAAATGGGTTAAATTGTTGAGTATCACCTTCACGTCTTCATGGGGAGCATTATAAGAAGTGAACCAGGGAATTCCAAGAAACCTCAGTTACAGTTGCAGCATTAACAAATAAAATAAGAAGGCTGCCTAAGTGGTGGTCTTTGAATCAGGTCAACAAATCTTATCCACTTTAATACTACCAGTGTGGCTATCTGCATCATGACACGATATGTAATTAATAAAATGATCCTGAACTTCAAAGTGTGACTTTTTGATACAAGATCTCATTATGTAGTTCAGGTTGACTTGAGCTCACTATTTATCCCAGTCTGGCCTCAAATGCAACAGTCTTCCTGCCTCAGCCTCCCAAGTGCTGGGATTATAAGCATGTGCCACCATGACTTACTTCCAAGTGTGATATTTGTTCACAGTACTGTCTCTTTACCTTTCCCTGCTTCCATCAAAGTCATTGTTTTGTCTCTCCCTCCCCCACCTCCATGAGTGGAAAATATGCACTTGATTTTGAGTGCTCCCTGGCATTTGCTTTAGCTAATGTAATGTCAGTACACATGATACAGGCTGCTGCCTTCTCCACTTGTCATCTAGAATGAACAAGAGGCAAACAGAGCCCGGATGAGACAGAGAGCGCAGGCCAGCCTCAGGACTGTGGAACAGCACATGCAGCCATTCCCGACTTAAATCAGCTGGCCTCATGGAAACCTACAGGTACGTAAGAATAATTCTGCAGAGATGGTTTCCTTGCTCACTAGAAAGCACAACTGTAGCCAAAATAACTAATATACCAAGGAGAAGGGTAAAATATCCTCTGCCACAGGATATACCAGAAGTAAGGAATTCCTGCAAAATACATATTCACATTTGTGTTTTTGTTTCTGCAAAGAATATGTTGCAGACACATGGAGAATTTACTTGCTGGAAAATCTCTTCTCTCTCTCTCTCTCTCTCTCTCTCTCTCTCTCTCTCTCTCTCTTCTCTCACTCTGTCCTCTCCTTCCTTCTTTTCATTTTTATCTTTTTCTCAGTGGGTCCTGACCTTTCCTTTTGCAAACATGTGAGGCTCAAAAGTTGCCTAGAACACTTCGCAATGATACCATTATTTTCTTTCCCTTTATTGATGACTACCCCACCACTCTTTGTGGTCAGTATTTAAAGGTGTTCATGACACTTTACCAAAATGTGAGCTCCCTTAATTCCACAGATTCATGGAAGATTCATTCTATCTTTTACCTCATTGCTCTTTTATCTCTGCTTGCACCTTTTCAACATCATCTGAAGAATCGTCTTTCTCCGCATCTTTGCTTCTCTATGATTCCACACATTTCATATGCCTCCTTTGCTTTAGTTACATTCTCTCCCCAAATGATCTCCTCTCTCATGGCGTCAGCTTCCATTTTTACCCCCAGTACTTCTCTTCATTCTAAACTCTGCGCAATCATAGCCAACAGTCTACTGGACATTTATGCATGGAAAAAATCCAGCCCTATACTTATTTCTCACCACTTCTAACCTTCAGCCTCACCCAACTTCTAATGTCCTTTCTATTTTCTATATTTCACTGGGTATAACCAGTGGCCTGAAAGGGATACCCAAAAATCCGATTTGGAACTTTACCCACTGCATCCGAGGAGTTATATGTAATGTTACATCTACCTTTTCTATCTGTAATCATTCAGTTCTCTCACAGAGCAACTCACTTAAATTACAGCATCCCAATTAACCACCCTGCCTCAAACTTGACTCAATACTTTCAAGCCATCTCTTTACACTACTCAAACGTCTTTTCTCGATGTGTTCTCGTATCGGGTGATGTTTAAAATTATTCCATTGAGAAGCCAAAGTTACTCCATTTTGAGCTAAAAAGCCATCCGGTGTCAGACTCCCCCCTCCCCCACAGGCTCAGGCAGCAGAAATTTGTTTAGCTTGCTTAATTGAGATAAGAGCAGAACCAAGTGGGTGAGCAAGGCCATTCCAACCTTGAAAAGGAGAAAAAACAGGACGGTCTGTGCAGATAACCACCACCCACAGGAGAGGAGCCAAACTCCCTAACCTTCACCAAACTCCCCCCCGCAGACTTAACATTTCTTCCCGCTTTCGCTAACACCCCAACAACATCCAATAGAATAGAGAGGATTTCAAGCCACCTTAACCCTATATAACCCTGTTGTAATCGCAATTCTGGGCTCTTGTTCCCTGGTGGACAAGGGTCCAGGTTCGAACCTGAAATAAACTTCTCTTGTACTTGCAGCGGACTCGTTTTTCTCGTGGTCCTTGGGGAAACTGAGATCTGGGTACAACATCCATATCTTTCTACAAGATCCATAAAAAATCTTCAAATGACATGCAAAGCCCATTTGTCGACTCAGGTTTATTTCTCCAGTTCAGCTTTACACAATCCAGCCATACTGATTTGCAAAACTAGCACTTTCTTGAATTCAGTCAGCTGCCCCTACAGTGGCTGTCTTTCACCTTAGTGACACACTCGCCTAAGAACTTTCAATGCCCAATGTGCATATCTTATCACAGTATTAACAACTGTCCACTTGTCTATAATTTGTGCTCATTTTATTGTAATCTGTCTGAAAGAGACTATGTCATCCTCGTCTGGTACTTCAAACATCTGCTATAGTATGTACCATATATCAGGCACCCAATAAATATTTGATAACTGACTAAATAAAAATACTAGTAAACTTTTAAGAAGCATCACATTTAGGATTCAGGTAGAATAAGAATGAAAGCTTTTGTTATCCCATTTTTTCTTTCTTTCTTTCTTTTTGGTACTGGGGATTGAACTCTGGTCCTTGTGCTTTGCAAGGCAGGTGGCAGAACCACTGAGCCTAATCCCGAGCCCTGAAACCTGAGTCTTTAGACAACTGAAGTGGTTTTCTAGCTCACATCATATTAATTCGTTTATTTAAAAATGACAGCTTTCTCTCCTCAAGTTCACCGACTGGTTTCTTTACCATGTCCATTCTGCTGCTGAGCCCATTCAGCAAACTTTTCCTTTCATTATGGTTAAGATCTACAATGTCTGCCACCCCCCAAAAAATTATCATGCGCTCAGAAGTAGGACTTTTGGGAAACAGGTGGGTCACGGGGCTCTACACTCAAGGGTGGATCCATCCACTAATAATTTCAGTGCAGGCAGGAGGGAGGGCTGGTGGGGAGAGGTAGGTTGCTTGTGGAGAAAGATACGCCCTTGCCCACTCCTCCCTGCTCACGCTGCTTCCCGGCTGGTGTGACACCAGCGGTTTTCCTCCCCAGGCCCGGCCACATGGCCTCTTGCCTTGTAACCTGCCAGCGTGAGCTAAAAACATCAGGGAAAATAAACCTTTCCTCCTTTAGGGTGTCAGGTGTTTTGCCCAGCAACAAGAAAGCAACTAAGGCATATTGTAAAATTGAAAAATTCCTGCTTTGTTGTTCTTTCTATCTTTTGCTTGTTGATTTGTGTTTCTTTATTGAGACTTTCTGACATGCTGCATGTGAGAGACAGCTTGCTTCCTTATCTTAGCCCCACAAAATCACCAGGGAAGGTGATGATGATGTTTGTCCCACTTCCCTACATCCTGGAGAGAATGGAAGTCTAGACTCTCCAGCAGGTTTATACTGGAAAGGATAGGATTGAGGCCACAACTTGTTCACAGGTTTTGCTGGGATGTGGTGACTGTTAACTAAAAGCTCTCTTTCCTGTTAGAATTATCATTTCTTGCTCTTTTGCCAGAGAGAGAAGCTTTTCTTGTGGGTT